CTATCAGGAGTGAAAGATTCCAGTACAATTTGCCGATGAGCAGATATTAAAATCATGTTTTTGGTGATTTAGATTTTGAAATAGATGTTGTATGACACAGTTAAAATGTATTAATTTGCACACAATTACACTTGCACCATGAAAATTATGGTAACTGATATGGTTGTCTGATCCTGAGGCATTATTTAGCTTAAGCTACATCTTTGAACTAATTGAATGAATCGCTAACAATGCCCCAAAAGCAAAAACCTAGAAAGCAACATCGCCTGTAAATAACCAATATAAAAAGATTGTGCTTGTTTGTATATCAAACAATGACATAAAACACTGCTGATTGCTTGCTGACCTTACACCTCATTTCTCAAGCCAAAGGTATAACCAGGCCCTTAAAGGTTAATACAGTTACTACTTTATTAACCACAAATACAATCTCTGTGCGTTTCTTATAGGCTACATGTAGTAGAACTCTCTCTTCACTTGATAAACAGTACTGTCAAGTTACCATTAAGAAAAACATTTGTACCATGAATGCATGATAATTTCTTGTTCAATTCAATGTTGCAGTGTCCTTATTTTCTGAGTTTAGCTTTGATTTATGTCTTGATATCTATTAATTGATTCATTCCTGAGTGTCAAATCTTGTGATTTTTGCATTGTTCTATATCAGCCATTATCAACTACACCATGACATTTCAATCGCTCGGTGTCTCACATGTTGTCTGTAATTATTATGTATTTTACTAGGACTCTTGGGAATAGGAATTATTTATTTATTTTTAGTCTGTCCAGATGTGTTATTCATTATAAACACATCAAATAACAATAAATAAGCCCATATTCAGACTTCTGGCCATTGTACTCATCTGCATGTCATTCTTCGAAGAAAAAAATATTTTCACACACATTGATTTTGCAGAGTCCTATGAATTGATAGGACTTGGGTGTCCTTTTCAAATTATATTTCAAACTAATATGTAACAACTCTGTTCATCTCTATACTACAGCTTTCAAAATATGATGTCTATCAAATTTAGTAGAAATTTTATTTGGAAATGAAATATGTACAGGTAACAAGGAATGTTTCTGAGATATTTAGCAAAAACTGTCTTTCGCTATAAAATATATTTGTATTCTGATCAGAATAAATTCTAGGCATTTCTTGTGCAAGTTTTAAAATCCATACAACTAGCAAAAAGTATTGCCATGGGTTTTGACAGTATATTTGCATTCACATTAGTATGTAGACATTAGTTTAGACATGATAGGTCAACAAATGTCCTAAAAATTTTGATTTAATCTATAGAAATTTTGATTCAACCATACAAATTTGGATTTATAGAAATTTTGATTCAACCATACAAATTTGGATTTATAGAAATTTGGATTCAACCATACAAATTTGGATTTATAGAAATTTGGATTCAACCATACAAAATTGGATTTATAGAAATTTGGATTCAACCATACAAATTTGGATTTATAGAAATTTGTATTCAACCATACAAATTTGGATTCCACCATACAAATTTGGATTATAGAAATTTGGATTCAACCATACAAATTTGAATTTATGGAAATTTGGATTCAACCCATAGAAATTTGGATTTATAGAAATTTGGATTCAACAATACAAATTTGGATTTATGGAAATTTGGATTCAAACCATACAAATTTGGATTTATAAAAATTTAAATTCAACCATACAAATTTGGATTTATGGAATTTGGATTCAACTCATACAAATTTGGATTTATGGAAATTTGGATTCAACCCATAGAAATTTGGATTCAACCATACAAATTTGGATTTATAGAAATTTAGATTCAACCATACAAATTTGGATTTATGGAAGTTTGGATTCAACTCATACAAATTTGGATTCAACCCAAAGAAACTTGGATTTATAGAAATTTGGATTCAACCATACAAATTTGGATTTATGAAAGTTTGGATTCAACTCATACAAATTTGAATTTATAGACATTTGGATTCAACCCATACAAATTTGAATTTATAGAAATTTGGATTCAACTCATACAAATTTAGATTTATAGAAATTTGGATTCAACCCATACAAATTTGAATTGATAAAAATTTGGATTCAAACCATACAAATTTGGATTTATAGAAATTTGCATTCAACCCATACAAATTCAGATTTATGGGAATTTGGATTCAACCCTTGAGAATTTGGATTTCTATTCATAGTACTGGTAATTTGCACACACAGGTGAGGTTATGAGTTTGATTAGTTGGGCCACGTTCATGCATGTTAAATAGCTAATTTGCATATTAATTATGTCATTTCAGTCTGTTTAAACAAAATCTTTAAAACGTCTGGGCAGATTTTGATCAAAATCAATGTGCTTTGGAGTGTGCAGACATTAGTTTTAGGGCCATATCTATGCATATTAAATAGGTAATTTGCATAATTTCCAGCCCTTGTGTGACCAAGTTGAAAATAAGTTGATACAACACAATGTATGGTAGAGAATCGCCAGGTTTACACATTCCAGGCTTTATTTCTATTCGAGAAATTCTTACAATTCATTCATCTTACAACTAAAGTAAGTGAGTGAA